AGGTAACCCTTTTAAGTAACGAGAACAATCGTGACGAGGGCTGCGCAACTCACGCAAATTTATTTGGTTCAAGTGCCTTGATATTGTACCTCTTGCTACGTCATAAAAGTACACGAATGTCAGGCATGGTTACTTGGCTGTTTAGCGGTTAAACTGATTGATCACCAGTCCAGTCGTAATTCGTGCGGCAGGGAGTCCTCTTTCTCATCACACCTCAAGCTTCCATGCCGTTCGCGCTATGAACACACGCTTTGACCCAATCTGAGTCTTGCGCTAATTCAAAACTTTCAGCCCGAGTGTAATGAACTTGTCTCAGCATGAATATAACTTTAGCGATCGAAAGAGTTTCACAAACCTTAAAGTAGTAAGCTTTGTGGCCTCACTTTGATCCTTTGCCAAAACAGGAATAATCGACAAGTGCGATATGTCAACGAAGTTGATGGAAAATGAAAGTACGGTGGCAATGAGAAAGTAATACAACAGCACCACCCATTCACTGGTTTCACTGCCGCAAACTAAACATTTGCTGAAAAACAGCGGCAGACCTATTGCAGTTGTAATAGTTCCAAACAAATGCCACGATTTTTTCTTTCCATGCTTGCGTGACAGGACCGGAATCTTAACCTTATCACATAAAAAACCTGCTACTGGAACAAATATAAATGCACCGGCAAAAAGACTGTAAAGAGCAATCAAGCCGGCATAGGTTGCAGGAATGCCAACCACTCTCATGAGAAAAATCATCCGGAATGTTTGTAACATGCGGCGAGTGACATCATTAATCACATGCCCGACTCCGCAGGAAAACTGCTGAAAGTACGATAGTCCTCTCCAGTTATGATTTTTCTTGACCTCCATGTCCAAATCCGCAAATACAAACAACCTAAAGAGGAATAAAGATAAGAAAATAAAATCAAAATCAAAAATAAAACAATAAACAAGAAAAAAAGGCAAGGAAAAAGCATTTTATTAAACCCCGAAATTACAAGGCAAAACTTGAGGGCCCAGGAGGACTGACAGGAAACAAAATTAAAAAAATAACCTACCCTTAAACCCTTCCATTATGCGATAATTTTTATAGAGTTTAAAGTATAGGCGACAATTCTGCTGGAAGTTTTCTCCAGAAATTTACAGGTTGAATTTACAGGAGATTTTATACTTTTTCCTTTGGAGGACAGAAGTAAAGAATGATGATGTCACCATTTATAACTTTGTGCATCGTTGCTGTCCGTCGTGTCAATAATAGATCATAGATGAAATAAAAACGTGATAAAAACAACAGTGACACACTCGGCTGCACCACGTTTTGATTAGATTCCATATTGCTGTGCATCTGGTCAATAATAGATCATAGATGAACTAAAAACGTGATAATAACAACAGTGACACACTCGGCTGCACCACGTTTTGATCAGATTCCATGTTGCTGTGCGTCTGGTCAATAATATATCATAGATGAAATAAAAACATGATAATAACAATAGTGACACACTCGGCTGCGCCGCGTATACCGCATTCTGTTTTCACCACATTTTGACGTTATCCGTGACCTATTATTAAACAGACAGCAATTGGGTTATTAAGGCCGAACTGAAATTTGAATGCTATAGGTAAAACTTCATTGTCCCTAATCAGTGATGTATGGTGTCAACAACAAATTGTGGCCGTAAAAGGTTACTGTTTGACGTGAAGGTTTTCCCAAATATCCTAGCCTTTTAAAAATAGATGGACGGAAGTACTTTTTCTAGCTCTTCCCAAGATTTCTTCACAGCTCGGTAGAAGCGCCTATTGATGTAATTAAACATTAAATTGCAGGAACAGTGAGAAAACTGCGAATGATTGACGCCATTAAACTTTTGCTTCACACTTTTAACTCAGAGCATACAGGAGAATTTATTACTTTTTACTTTGGAGGACAGAAGTATAGAATGATGATGTCACCATTTATAACTTTGTGCATCGTTGAGGTGCGTCGTGTCAATAATAGATCATACATGAAATAAAAACGTGATAAAAACAACAGTTACACACTCGGCTGCACCACGTTTTGATTAGATTCCATATTGCTGTGCATCTGGTCAATAATAGATCATAGATGAAATAAAAACGTGATAAAAACAAAAGTGACACACAAGTCGGCTGCACCGCGTTTTGATCAGATTCCATGTTGCTGTGCGTCTGGTCAATAATATCTCATAGATGAAATAAAAACGTGATGATAACAACAGTGACACACTCGGCTGCGCCGCGTATACCGCATTTTGACGTCATTTTGACGTCATCCGCGACCTATTATTGAACAGACAGCAATTAGGTTAGTAAGGCCGAATTGAAATTTGAATGCTATAAATTTCAGTTTCCCTAATCAGTGATGTGTGGTGTCAGCAACAAATTGTGGCCGTAAAAGGTTACCAAAAGGTTGCTGTTGACGTGAAGGTTTTCCGAAATATCGTAACCTTTTAAAAATAGATAGACGGAAGTACTTTTTCTAGCTCTTCCCAAGATTTCTTCAAGGCTCAGTAAAAGCACCTATTGATGTAATTAAAAATTAAATTGCAGGAACAGTGAGCAAACTGCGAATGATTGACGCCATTAAACTTTTTCTTCACACTTTTAACTCAGAGCATACTTGTTTGACTCTTTCGAGATAGTACTAGTTAATTACTAATCTTTCTAAAAGTGTTTGGTTTGAGAACATCAGCCCAGAAGTTTACTTGTCTGGAATAAGTTAAGTGCTTGAAAAGAGAAGAGTTATAACTACTTTATGTCAGACGATTTGCAGTCGATCAATTGATCGCTCTTTCTAACCTAACTATCAGGTGATGAAGGCATTAGCCTAAACAGCTCCTCAGTGAATACGCTTCGTCTTGGAAAATGGATTCAAATGATGAGATTTGTGTAGTTTATCAAGAGTTGTGCTTTATGAGATAACGAGGAAACTATTTTTTTAGAGAAAAAATACTTTCTGCGGTAGACCATGCATATTTTTTACGCATCGTTCACAACTCAAATGATGGATGAGTATTTTGCTGTAAAGGCAACTCAACAGATGCTATTCTTTAATTACGAAATCGTAATTCAATACTGACATGGAAATACTGGCATCTTTTCAAGCCGGAAAAATCAACGATGATAACACTCATTGGTAGCTACTTCTAGCCAGCTATTTATGTATTGGAACTGAATCTTGAAGCTTTGCACGGGTGTACAATTAACATGGAGATAAATTTTTTTAGCAATAGATCTATTTCATATAAAATTTGCACTTTCAGGATAAATCATAGCACTCTGCACTATTGGGATTAAATGAACAAATTCTCTGCCTATCGGAAATCCCGAATTTCAACAAAATTGCTGTTTCTCGCATGAAAAAGAAATCCGCTACGAACTAAAAGACCAAAAGGCCTACTCATTAAGAGCATGCATGGTCAAAGATCATTTTCAGCCTATTTGTTGAAACAAACTCCAAGAAGAACATATATAGAAAAGCCATCTAATATGGTAATCGCATGCAAAAAAATCTATGAATCAGACGAACCATCTTCATTCGTAAAGTTATCGGTACTGTGAGTGTGATTGCTGTCTTTCGCACGAGATGTTTGTGAAAAGCTGTTGAAATAAATGAGCGCTATTCACGCACGTACCAATTTAGTTATTCTACATTTTTGACTTCAAAACTCAAATTTTCATTTCTTGATAAAGATCCTGCGGTTAGTCTTTTGAACTACGAAAAAAACAGTTAAACACTTAACTCGACAAAGTCTTACTATGTAAGTCGCTCACCTTGTTTTGAGATTTC